AAAGTCCTTCCCCACCCTTCCTTAAGAAAATATACTCCCAGCCTATATTGAGAAAGAAAATTGTTGCCCTGGCATTTGATTCTTTGAAATCTAGCTAAAGGGTTCTTTCCTGTTAGGAGAGTGAGTGGGGGAGTGAGGAAATAGAAATGAAAGAAGAGGAGAAAATATGCAGAAAAGGGAAGATAATCAGAAAGCTTTCCTACTCTTTAAGTAGTAGTATTACCTTTTTGAATCCAGAATCTTATACTGGGCTTCGTTGAAACATAGCAAATACCAACTGTCCGGTATGAATATATGTAAGGTCTTATGCAAGGGGATATAGAATGAATGTGACATAGTCCCTGCCCTTAAGGGATACATAATACCACTGAAGGAGATGAGAGAAGTACATGGTAAGTAGAGGCAAAGTAAGACCCAATAAGAAAGCTTCGTCTAAGGTACCTGTGGAATCAAAGGAAGGTGACAGCATAATGGTTTCATGTTGGAGGTAGTCCTCAACTTTGGACAACCTGAACAAGGTGTCAGTTGGCAGAAGCTGGAGCGGAGGTATTCAGGGGAAAGGCATGGTGCGAGCAAAGAGTCGGAGGTGGAAAAGCAAGGCGTTTCTGGACGCAGTAACGGTGCTCAGTGGTAGGAGACAAGGAACATGGGAATAAGGTGGGAAAGGAGGATAGGGTCATTTTGAAAGTTCAGCTAATTCAGCAGGGAAAAAAGCCTTTGGGACAATGCTCAGAGTTGTGCTTTATAAGATTTAGAGCTCACAGTATTATAATTAAGTGGTTTGAGGCAGGAGTCTTGTGGAAGTTCATGGCAATAATCCAGGAGAAAAAAACCAGGGCCTAAACTCAGGTGGCAGCAGGAAGAGTAAAAGAGTGATTGGGTTGAAACCTTGCGGAGTCGCGCTCTCTATGGTCTTTGGAGACAGAACAGAGTGGATGAGCAGTGAGGCCTGGGACTGCCCACCTTTCTGTGGCAGAAAATCATCCCATGTTCACCCTTCTGTTCTCACCCCAGTGATTTTTTTTTTCTTTAGGATTTCATAGCCATTAGAAGAATAGTAAAACATACTGAATGTGACACAAAAGAAAAATATAAATATCATCATTTGACAAATTAAAAAGGGTTTCCGGGACCAGCCAATAAGTAAGTCTTCAAGTAGTGAGAAGCTAAGAAAACTGTTGACTGTGGCACAAAAGTGCAAACCTGGGCATGGATTGGGAAGTGGTTGGTTGCTAATAGAGCGCCATTGGTGACAAATTCTTCCTCAGTATCAGCAGCCTCTTTTTCCTTGGGAGTTGCTAGAAAAAAAGCACAACAGTGAATGCTCTATATCTTAAGTGCATCCCAGTGAGTTTAGGGCATGCCCTATCCTTGTGCACTTGGAGCCCATCCTCAGCCCCTTCCCACTGGTCATCTTTGGCTGTGGGAAGGATGGCACTGTCAGTCTGTTAGAAATTTCTCTATAATTGCAGTTCTGAGCTCCTAATGCATAGTTGCTCCTCATTAGCTTCGGTTTGCTGGGTGAGAACTATGGATACTCAAGGCTATTAACTTGCCCAGGTCCACTCTGCCCCGCCTCTCCTCTCTGGGCATTATTTCCTAACCTCTTGGGGACACACCAGAGGCATCCTGGGTGCAGGAGGCAGTGGATAAGCATTGCAGCCAGCCCGTTGCAGTCAGCCCGGCAAGAACCAGGATGCTGGCTCTTCCACTTACCAGCTGTGTGACTCATGCCAAGTCACCTAACCTCTCAGGGATTCGGAGAAGCAGGGCCATTGTCATGAGAAGATTGAAATGAAAGAACGTCTGATTCTTTCATACCATTGATCATTATCATGGTGCTTGCAACTATCGTGGACTCAGTTTTTTTCTTCCAGAGATTTTGGGACTTTGTCCCTGACCCTGCTATTTATTTAGTTTGCTCTTTTCTGGATCTGAGCTTTTAGACGTGAAGCATCCATAAGGTTTACTCTAAGAAGTACTGGCTTATGAAATAAGCAAAATGGGAAGATGTTTTGGAAGGTGCAATTGCTGAAGCTGCAGACCCTTTCCCAAGCTGCTTTGCTTATTATTCATTAAGCAGCTTGGTAAACGTAGGTAGCTGTGTTCCTGAGGGCTCTACATGATATGTTTACTCTAATAAGAGACTAAGTAATCAGAGTAGCATGTCCTCTTGCACTGCATTATCACCGTCCACCACACAACTAGTAGTGTTTATTTCTCCAGATAGTTGGCTTGCATTTCAGGATAAGCCTCGTGCAGAGAGCTCATTTTGTCATTTATATTGATGATAAGTAGAGGAGAAAGAGAATGCTTTTTGAAGTTAGGTTACTCTAGTTTTCCCATGGTTTATAAAGGGGCAGAGATTTGGGAAAAGGAAGCAAATATTCTAGGTAATGTGGTTAAACACTCTTTTCTGTTGATAAGTGAAGATAATCAGGTGTTCTGCATTTTGCTACTTTATAAAATACTTTATAAAATATTCTTTTTCATGAGCTCAGCATAATAGCTTTAACTCCTCAGGGAAAGCCTATAAATACAAGGACATTCACAACTAATAGGAGAGATAAAAGAATGAGAATCCAGTAACAGCCTCGGTCTTGTTTATAGTGTTTCTTTTTTGGCGAACTCTAGCTTTTTAACACTGGTCATTTAGACAACCAGGAGGAGCAGTCCCAGTCACAGGACTCTTTAAAGCACTGGGGAGAGGTGGATACTGACTCTTATGGCCCTGGCGGTGCAATTTGATCTTTTAAAATGGGACCATTTAAACACTTTATATTATAGCTATGAGTATGATCAGTTCAATTTAATGAGTGAGCGTGGGGTGTAGGAAGCTCTTTGGGATTGCTTGTGCCAAGCTCACACTAAAGTAGACTACGGGATACTATGGGGTCGAAATGGTGAGCAGTTTTGAGGAGGAACTTCTGAGAAAGCAGTTTCTGGCTAGTGACGTGGTTGGCATGTTGGTGGGTGGTAACAGAAGTTATGAGATGCACGCCCTGTTCTTGAAAGCACATGTACTTGGCCTTCAAGACTAATATGCAAGAAACAATGAGTAGAAGGTAACCAATGAACTCGTTTAATTATGAGTCTAACTGTTCTTGCATAGGGCATGTTTATAAGAGCTAAAGCTTTCAAGGGAAATAGCACTGCAGTTGGGTATTTAAGGGGTGAAAATGAGGTTGCTAGGTAAAGCGTTTAAAAGATGTATTGGTAAAGCTGACTAGTCTAGAACCAAGAAGATTTGCCAAGGAGAACTATTTTTAAATGGAAGCACTGAAGAGGCCTTAAAACCATCTTCTTCAATCCCTTGTTTTACATATAGTGCACCCCTGGCAAGTGAAAGACCATGAGGCTGATGGCACAAAGTAAACTATTGTGAGCCTGGATTCTGGGAAGCTTCGAAAGGCTTGCAGTGTAGAGCTTAGGTGCTAGAGTGCCTTGTGAAAAGCAAACTGCATGACCACAGGGGGTTTTAGGAAGAATTTAGTTTAGGGGCATGAACCCTGTGTTAAACTTGTGGTGTTGCCTGAGAATCCAGCATTATTATTCGTTCCATTAAAGGAATAATTCTATGTACTCACCCCTTTGGTTTCTGAGTCCTCTGGCTGTTTTGCTCTCCTCTCGCCTTCCTGCCCTCCGTCATCAGTACTCACATCTGTCTGTGTTGCTAGTTAAGGATCAAGTACTACCCCCTTCCCAGGGCCATTTGCATTTTAATTGGGACACATCATCGAGATAAAATAATGCATCTAATAGAGTTTCAGGCTACAATGACTTCAAATTTTAAGGCGGGGTGAAGGATCCTTCCTTGTGTCCCCAAAATCAGGGCGTGTGTAGGGAGAGGATGTTGTGTGTCTGGCACTTCGTGGGCACTCTTGTTTGTTCATGAATGAATGAAACTTTTTGGTGAACGAACGAATTGGTGAATGAGGCTTAGGGGTGCAGGGTTCTTAGAAAACAGAAGAGACAATGGAAATAAACCCTTTAAAGGAGGGATTATTAATGTTAAGTTTTATAAATTTTAAATTATAAATTTTAAAAGAAGGACTAGGTGACTGGTCCCAAGACATAAGGGGGGGAGAGCATTCAAAAGAAAAAAATCATAGTTCTACAGTCTAGCTGCTTAGGGAATATTGCTGACAGAACCAGGAACCTGAGAGTCCTGTGTTTGATCACATGGACGCACAACTGTCATTTTTGACTAGATACTTGAAAACCTTCCTTCACTTCGTGTGGCTACAAGTAAGGTATGTGAGTCCCAGTCCTATTTCCTGCTTCTTCTCCCTAATGTCTCCTGTTCAACCTTTCCTTCCATTTTTCTGTGCCCAGGACTCGGTATGAATTGTGTGCTCAGATTTCCTACAAAAGCACCCAGAGGATTCATATCTTTTCCTTATTTCACCCTTACTCCCACTTAAATTTTTCACTTCAAAACTTCTTCAGGAAAACGCTTACTTTAAAAAAAATATATAGGCCGTTGTTTGGAAAGTTATGCTTGCAATGACTCTTACTTTTGGCCTCTCTTTTGCATGGCTATGCTGCCCTCGGTTATGCAGAGATAACAAACTAACTTGCTTCCCAAAGGCATTCTTCCTTGACGGACTGGTTTGCTCTGAGCTGTATAAACACTCTTGCCTGCTGACCAGTAGTCTGTATTTATGAGGTCCTTAGAAAACACTGCAAGCTGCAGAGAGTGACCATGAATAGCAAACTTAATTTGGTTTAATGTGTTTTTGCTTGCTTGACCTCACCAGAATAAAAATGTGCCTGCTTAAATTATTGTATTGGGACTTAAAAAAAAAAAATTCTGGAGACATTTATCTCATTAGAAGAATATGGGGATCATTTTAGCAAAGGTTTAAGTCCACGTTTAATGACAGATAGACTTGAGAAATGTTTAACATAGAGCTTTAATTGCAGATTAGATTATTGTAAATTCTGAATTTTAAGCCTGAATTACTGTTTTTTTCTCTTGCTACTTTTTTTTTTTCTAGACAATTGGCTGGCAACGACCTTTCTTTTATCCACCCAAAGGCCTTGTCCGGGTTGAAAGAACTCAAAGTTCTGTAAGTAATGCAATTTTAGAGTTTCACAGCTGGCTGTGTATTTTCTTTCTGCATAGTCAACATGCTTGGAACTAGGTTAAGCACAGTTTCTTTTAGTTCAGGATTAAAAGATTTAAGGAGTGGCCAATGGGTAATGTGGGAGGCTAGAGGTTGATTTAGGCAACCTAGAGTATAGATAACAAAAGTTAAAATTCTAAATAATAGATATTCTGACCTCCAGTATGTTACAATTGAACGTTAGGCTTTTTAGGGGGCTAATGCACTGAATCAAAACTATATTTAAGCTTTACTGCTAGGGTTTTGTTTCTACCAATCTTATAAGAATTTTGAATTAGTTGACCCTAAAAAGAAAAAGGCTTACAGCAGCTCCAAAGGCTGAAATCATTTTAAAGCTAAAGGGAATTGAGACGCCTATGATTTTTATAGCCAGTGAGGGATCAGGAAATAAATTCCTGGCAGTAGTCAGGAACTTGGAGTGTGGCAGATCAGGAAACAGGTGAACTGACTGCCTGTACTTCTACCACTGCCTTGCTGGCTGACCATCAGCAGGTCACTAGACCTCTCTGGTTCAGTAAATGAGGTGGGCCCTTTACCTCTTCCATTCTGTGGTTATGATTCATGTCAGGCAGTCATTGTATTAATGTGACAGGAGTGGCTTTAGGTAAGAAGTAAAGGGATTTCATTTTCAGTATGGAGCTATGCCTCCATTCTCCAGGCCCTATTAGATGATTATTTTATTTTTAT